TAATCTAGCTGGTTTCCTTAAGTGTTTCCTAACCAAGGATAAGCTCTGGATTAATCCCTTTGAACCAGAGACAAAGAGACAATCCATGCAGTGGAAACATCCATCCTCACTTGCACCAAAGAAGATCATGGTCATTTCATGTGCAGGGAAAGTGATGGCTTCAGTTTTGGAGATGCAAAAGACATCGTGTTTACTGACTATCTTTAAACGAGTCAACATTATCAACAGGGTAAACCAGCTGAGGCAGTTACGAAAAGGCCAAACGCTCATGAAAACTGACGAAAGGGTTCTTGTTTCATCATGTCAATGCTATAGTACACAAGTTCTTTTTTTTTCTGTATGTGACCGTGGCTTTGAACTATTTGATCACCCACCCTATTTTTCTGATTTTTGCCCCTTCTGACTATCATCTGTTCCCCAACATGAAAAAAAAAAAAAAAAAAAAAATAAAACACTTGGCTGGGTTCGCAGTGATAATGACGTCACATCTGCTGTTGATGACTTTTTTTGACCAACAGGATGACAGCTTTTTCACCAACGGGATTCACGCACTGCATGACTGATGGAAGTAGTGAGTGAACCGCAAGGGGAGACTATGTTGAAATATAAACCTCATTTGGTCATATTCCATGAAAGTATCTTGGTCAGCCTATGAACTTTTCAGCCGATCCTCGTAATAAAACAAATTGCATTACTTTTTTTACTCACTCTCGTAATTAATCATTCCTGTTGTATTAAAACATTTATTTGATACTCTTTATAATTACTTCATATTATATTTGAGATTTGAACGGAAATCAATATCTATCTTGAAAGAAAAAACTACCGCCCCCCCACATCCGGTTCTTTAACCAAGCATAGCGAGTTGAATGTACGCATCAATGCAAATTTCTGCTCAAAAGTTAGCGCAATTTTTATAGATTAATCAATCCATTCATCTGTCAAGATACTCAGGGTTTTCCGTGTCCCGCATGGTATTTTATATGAATTCCGGCATCGCACTACGAGAAATTTTTTTTTTTTTACATTTTTTTGTCTCTTCTACATATATATTTGTGTATGTATATGTGTGTGTGTATTTGGGTAGCAATACTTCACTAATACATGTTTAATTAATAATTGATTACAAGGTATTTCTGTTTTATTTTCTTGTATACGATCAGGTTTATTTTTTTGTCCAAATGATTGTTCATACCAAATGGGTGATTAGTGTACGTGGGCTTAGAATGATGGAGAGTTCTAGCTGTAAAACTCTCAATTGGTGGAAGTAAAGGGTAGGGCTTACCTGAACGTTTACTTACTTACTTACTTGATGCGGCATTCACCCTGGGCGGATTGAGCCGGCTTCTTCCTGAAGAAGATTCCTGGAACAAATTACAGAAGTAGGGTACCCAGGCCTACTCGGATAACGTTCTTGCTTGCCGCGGGGTTCCCACAGACGCAGAGACAGGAACGACCAGAAGCCGCCGGTTGCCGATGCAGACGCTCCTTGGATTTTCACCAGAGCCCTTGTTAGCCGGCGTGTGTGTCAGACCTGTCCGCCTGAACGTTTGCCATGGAAATAGCGATAAGCTTGTTTTCTGATGACAACGAATACTCGTTGCCACTTTTGTGATGCCAGCGAATACTCGTTGTCATTTTCGTAATGCGCGTTGTAGTAGAGACTTTGAAATCGCAGATTACAACTGGAGTAACGCTGTTGAACAATACTGGTGTCAGATGCCTTCGAATAGCACTAATATTACTTGCTCGGTAATACACTCTCGAAATTAACCACCGAATAGTAATCCGTATAGAGAAATAGTATAGTGAATAGCGGTCCGTATATTAAGAAAGGATAGAGTAGAAATAGCGATCCGTTAATAATAGAGGATAGACTAGAAATGGCGATCAATTAGACGCCACTATTGGTTTTCTTTATGATCACGTGGTCTACTTAATTCAATGATGGGGTCCCCTGTATTTGTGTTTTGCAACCTATGCTCAAACTCAAGTGTCGACGGCGACACTTTATTCCTATATAACAGCTTGTGACTTTGCGTCTGTGGGGAAAGAGGCTGTAGAGTGGAAAATATTATCCTCTGATATATTGCATAAACGATTTAGAATTTAGCCCTCAAGAGTAAATACGAGAAACACATCATTGCTTAACCAAGCCCGTCATGCATCACTAGTCAATGTTTTCCTCGTCATCTTCAAGACATCATGTTAATTGTTCGGACGAGGTTTTCGCTGTGGTGCCTGGAGGAGGCACGGTGGGGTAATGCATAGCGGCTCGGATTGAGGAATCGGAGAGTCGAATTCGAATTCCAGTCGAATCCATTACATTCACCTACGTTTTGAATCCTCTTCTTCTCCCTCCAGCTATGGATAAATACCAGAACAGACCGGGTTCTATAGCCTTCGATGGCAATTGGAAAGAAATAGCAACCTACTGCGGGAAAAAATCTGCCTCGTCAGTCATGTATCTATCTAAGGATACATGATCGTCTAAGCGTGTATCACGCATGGCACATAACCGACTTTGACTTTATGAATTTAAGCGTAGTACTAGATTAGCAATAAGGTCTCATCAATTTACAGTTGTATTGCGTAGATGTAACCGTAAGTTCTATGCTGACAGTTTCTTCTCTCGTACTTCTTGCTTGTGTAACTGTCTTCCGGTTTCATACTTTCCAGACAACTTTGACCTTCAAAAATTTAAATACAATGTCAATCGTTATCTACACTCGATTGCTCATCTGCTGTCCTCGCTCCTTAGTAATGTTTTCTAATTCTTTCGCACCCAGCAACCCCTTGTGTCTTAGTGGCTTTATTGCCTTGCTTAGGGGGAATTCGATGTAAAAAAAAAAGAGAGTAGGTAATGGAGAAAGATAGACACAGAGAAAACGTGAAAGGAGACAAATAAAAGGAAAACTTACAGAACATATGTGTTTTGTGTGAGCGAGTGACTGAGTGAGTGAGTGTGTGTGTGCGTGAGAGAGAGAGAGAGATTGAGAGAGGGAGAGAGAAATAGAGAGAGATGATGGAACAATCAAAGAGAGGGGAAAATAATAATAAAAAAAAGAATATGGATATTTTTCCCCGCACTGCTGTATTGAAATTGGTTAGCTGCACCGACAAATGGTCAGTTTTGCTTCCGACGCTTGCCTAATTGGAGATGACGTTTACACGCCTCCCCCCTCCTCCATGAGAAAACAAGAATAAAACAGGTTGCATTTCCACTGCCGAAGAACCAGACACCCACCCAACCGGTTCGACTCGCATTGGTATACATCGGGAATTTCTATTGGCGGGAACTGTAACCAGATAATTGAAATGTTGGCTAAGGGAGATAATCAATGCTCAGGTTTTTGCCTGATGGGTCCTCATGACAGTAGAGAAAAACGTGAAAAAGAAAGTAGGGCAAAAAGAAAGAAAATTAATTGATGAATAATATGAGGAGGAGGAGGAAGAGGAGGAGGAAGAGAAGGAGAAATAAGCATGGTTAAACGAATAACAGAGGCGTGGTTAATATCATTATGGCTACTATATTATCAATAATATTAACGTCATTGTATAATGTAAAGAAGAAAAGAAACAAAACCACGATATTAAATTGAATATAACAATGACAATTAAAATAGATGAAAACCCTAGTTAAAAATCTATACAAAACTTATTCCCCGTGGACATTTTCCCAGATTGCTTGCTAACTACGGTTAGTGAGTCCAGATATTTAACCCATAGCTGAAGGGAGAAAAGATACATTCATACGTTTTCCATGGAGATTTGAGAAGGTGAATGTTTCAAACGCCAACAGAATTCGAAATCGGTTCGTCTATTTCTCATTCTGAGCCGTTAACCATTACATTAGATGCACTTAATTTTTTGCTCTGTGGAAAATGTCATGATACCATTTCTGACCTTAAGTCTCTGGTCGAGACCCGGAATATACACAACAACAATAATAATAATAATAATAATAATAATAATAATAATAAAGTATGGAAATTGAAAACAAGAATAGTACCAGTTATAGCAGGTGCGCTTGGAATGATAAAAAAGGAAGACAACAACACATAGAAAAAATCCCTGCAAATCCCAGCTTAAGAGAAATACCAAAAAATGTCTTGATAAGTACAGCCCATATACTAAGAAAAACTTTGTCAATGTAACGCTATTGATGTTATGAGAGTTAGGAAAACAAATCAAGAAAAGTACCTACAAAAACACACTGCCTTAGGTCTTCCAGCAGAATTAGTCGGTAGTGTGACCATAGCAGAAGTCGAAATATAATAATAATAATAATAATAGCAATAACAACAGCAATAATAATAATAATAATAATAATAATAATAAATGGGACACTTGCGGACATCAATAATTCTAGTTGTAGTTGGAGCCCTCCGATTGATTGGGAATGGTTACGATAGACACAACGAAGGGATTCCTTGTAGCCCATGCCTCAAAGAAATACAACAACTTGGACTCACATGTACATCTCACACATTACGAAGTATTTTATCTGTGTAAAATGTGTTATCTTTGGTCTTTCTTTCTTTATTTCTTTTTTTTTTTCCAAAAATGATCAGTGTCATTAAGCCATTTCTGACGTTAGGTCACTAGTTGGGACCCGGAAGGTAATGTGCACACAACAGAAATCCAAGGAAATAATAATAATAATAATAATATCTGAGATTTGCTGCCGTCTGATCTTCAATGAGATCAAGAAGATTCTACTGTTAGGAATATTGCAGTACAACATACTACTACTAATTCTTGCGAGAGAAAAGTGAGGGCGAAAGAAAAGGGACAGCGAGAGAGAAGGAAGAGCGAGAGAAAAACAAGAGTGAGAGAGAAGGGAGAGCGAGAGAAAAGGGAGGAGGAGAAAGAAGGGAGGGCGAGAGAGAAGCGGGTGAAGCTGGGAATTGTGAAGACGAGTTGGGTTCGGCCATGAAGCGCAGACTAGAAGCTGTCATAGGAAAATGGAACTGGTAAGATAACTCTGGGGAGTTGAGATGAAGACCTACGACCCCATTGAAATAAGAAGTCTCGATCTAGTAGTTGCGAACAAAGAAAAAGAAAATATTCAACATGGTAGGTGAACTCAGTGAATACGAAAGAACATTGAAATAAATAAATAAATAAATAAATAGACGAATATTATGGCTACGCATGTGCAGTTTAGAGGCCATAAAACATGAACATTAGCTTTCATTCCGTGTTTCATTCCGTGTTTCCTTCATTTCCATTTTTCTTTCTTTTTTGCTTCCCTTATTCTTCTTTCTTTACACCAATCTTCTTTTTTTATATCTTTCCTTACACCTTCTTTTCACTTTATTTCTTTACGCCAGTCTTTTTCTTACTTTATTTAGGCCAAGCTTCTTTCTTTCTTTCTTTCTTTCTTTCGTTTCCTTTTTCTTTTATTTTTCTTTCATTTCTTTTTTCTTTCTTTTTTTCTTTCTTTTTTTTCTTTCTTTACGCTTACCTTTTTTTCTTTCTTTTCTTTCTTTCTTTCTTTCTTTCTTTACCGCTTACCTTTTCTTTTTTATTTTTCTTTCTTTCTTTTCTTTCTTTCTTTCTTTCTTTCTTTTTCTTTTCTTTCTTTCTTTCTTTCGTTTTTACCTTTTCTTTCTTTCTTTCTTTCTTTCTTTCTTTTCTTTCTTTTTTACCTTCGTTTACTTTCTTTCTTCACGTCTACGTTTTCTTTCTTTCTTTACGCCTACATTCTTTCTTTCTTTCTTTCTTTCTTTCTTTCTTTCGTTACGCTTACCTTTTATTTTTTTTTTTCTTCTTTTCTTTCTTTCTTTCTTTCTTTCTTTCTTTCTTTCTTTCTTTCTTTCGTTACTTACCTTTTTCTTTCTTTTCTTTCTTTCTTTCTTTCTTTCTTTCTTTCTTTACGCCTACCTTCGTTTATTTTCTTTCATCCTGTTACGTTTTATTTCTTTATTTACGCCTTCATCCATTTCTTTCTTTCTTTCTTTCTTTTTTCTTTCTTTCTTTCTTTCTTTCTTTCTTTCTTTTCTTATTTATTTATTTCTTCCTTTCTTTTTTTTACGCCATTTTTTCTTTCTTTCTTGCCTTCCTTTCTTATTTATTTATTTCTTTTTTTCTTTCTTTACGCTAGCCTTTTCTTTCTTTCTTTCTTTCTTTCTTTCTTTCTTTTTCTTTCTTTCTTTCTTTCTTATTTATTTATTTCTTCCTTTCTTTTCTTTACGCCCTAGTTTTTTTCTTTGCTTGTTTGTTTGTTTTTTTTCTTTTTCTTATTTTACTTCCTTCCTTTCTTATTTATTTATTTCTTCTTTTCTTTCTTTACGCCTAGCCTTTTCTTTTTTTTCTTTCTTTCTTTCTTTCTTTCTTTTTTTTATTTATTTTTCCTTTCTTTCTTTACGCCTAGTTTTTTTTTTGCTTGTTTGTTTGTTTTTCTTTCTTATTTATTTTCTTCCTTCCTTTCTTATTTATTTATTTTTCTTTCTTTTTTACGCCTAGCCTTTTTTCTTTCTTTCTTTCTTCCTTTTCTTATTTATTTATTTTTCCTTTATTTAGTTTTTTTTTTGCTTGTTTGTTTGTTTCTTTTTTTCTTATTTATTTTTACTTCCTTCCTTTCTTATTTATTTATTTTTCTTTCTTTCTTTACGCCAGCCTTTTTCTTTCTTTTTCTTTCTTTCTTTTCTTTCTTTCTTTCTTTTTACGCCCAGCCTTTTTTTCTTTTCTTTTCTTTTCTTTCTTTCTTTCTTTTCTTTCTTTCGTTACGCTTACCTTTTCTTTTTATTTTCTTTCTTTTTTCTTTCTTTCTTTCTTTCTTTCTTTTCTTTCTTCCGTTACGCTTACCTTTTCTTTTATTTTTTTTCTTTCTTTCTTTTCTTTACCTTCGTTTACTTTCTTTCTTCACGTTCTACGTTTTCTTTCTTTTCTTTTTTCATTCTTTCTTTTCTTTTTCTTTCTTTCTTTCTTTCTTTTTTTTCTTTCGTTACGCTTACCTTTTCTTTTTTTTTTTTCTTTCTTTCTTTCTTTCTTTCTTTCTTTCTTTCTTTCGTTACGCTTACCTTTTCTTTCTTTCTTTCTTTCTTTCTTTCTTTCTTTCTTTCTTTCTTTCTTTCTTTCTTTCTTTACGCCTACCTTCGTTTATTTTCTTTCATCCTGTCTACGTTTTATTTCTTTATTTACGCCTTCATCCATTTCTTTCTTTCTTTTTTCTTTCTTTCTTTTTTTTATTTATTATTTCTTCCTTTCTTTCTTTACGCCTAGTTTTTTTCTTTGCTTGTTTGTTTGTTTCTTTCTTTCTTATTTATTTCTTACTTCCTTCCTTTCTTATTTATTTATTTCTTCTTTCTTTCTTTACGCCTAGCCTTTTCTTTCTTTCTTTCTTTCTTTCTTTCTTTCTTATTTATTTATTTCTTCCTTTCTTTCTTTTCTAGTTTTTTTTTGCTTGTTTGTTTGTTTCTTTCTTTCTTATTTATTTCTTACTTCCTTCCTTTCTTATTTATTTATTTCTTCTTTCTTTCTTTTACGCCTAGC